TAGCGACGACAAGACGCTTATTTATATTTTTTGGTATTTTTGTGGCTTAACCCTTTTGTTAGCGTGGTTATTAAAGACGCGCCGGCGGCAGGTGGTTGTGGCGGGGATGTGCCGGCCCGCGGCGGGGCATGGGGAAGGATCCTGCACGTACAGGGGACATTGCTGCCTGCACCGGTGACGTTTCCTTCGGTGACGCCGGCAGCACGCGCTCCTCAGAATGCAGGTGTTGGGCGAGGGGCTGGGCTGGCGTCTCGGCAGTTGTCTGTAAATTCCCATTTCCTGGAGGGTTCACGAGACCTCAGTCACGGGGCAGCAGCCGTGGTGCGATACGTCACGGGTAAGTGGTGAAATGGTTTCCCGTTGTTCCACTCACACTTCCTCAAAAGGTCCGTTTATGCACTAGGTCACTAAAAATTACAGTATTTTCTGTATAACGCTCTGGTTGTTACGGATTAAGTGTCATATATGTACGTATTATAAATTTATAGATCATATTTTCTTGATACGCATCATTAAATGAAAAACAGAAGGACATTAAGGTGGAGAAGTGATTGCTGTGCATGCGTGGGAGCTGCAGCAGCGTGGCTTAACTCGGACTGGAAGCGCATCTAGTCCAGCCTCCCTGCCCCAAGGCGAGTCAACCCCTTCCAGTTCTCACCCTCGGAGTGCCGCGACGTACGCGCCGTGGCTCGAAAACTAGCAAAACAGAAGGCTGTAATCCCGCCTCGTGGAAAGAGCCGGCAGCATCCCAAGCAGATTTAAACACCAATCTCCGTGCAGTAAGAGGTTAATAAATCCTTTCCTTGCCAAGGGCTTTTGCCACACGAACGGGCACTCGCGGGTGGATCGCGTGTGCCGGCGCTTGGCTTCCGCATGCCGGCGCGGAGGGGAACGTGGCGGGAGGTCCCGCAGCATCAGGAGCGTTAGGAGAGGGCAGGTGGACGGCTGCCGAGTCTACGCTGCCCTGTTCACATCCCAAGGTTTTTGTGATGGCATTGCCAGAAGGGGATGGCAGGGTGGAGGCAGCTTGAGGTGCTCAAAAACAGATGCAGAAAAGTGTATTTTTCTCCTCAGAACTACTATAAAGGTTCGTACTGAATGTGTAGAGGAGAGGATGTGTGGAGAAATGTGTG